TTGGGATGTTTAGGTTAGAGAAAAGAAAACATAAGGAGGACAGTACTATTAAATTATAGTTGTATAAGTATTTGAAAGGCAGTTGTTAGAGGCAGAGTTAATGCCATATGCCTGTTTAGGTTAAGAGGACTTGAACTCCACTGAACAGTGAACACAAGGAGGTTTACTTTGCCCAAATGCTGCAAGGATACAGTGGCATTTAGCTTCTTTGAATGTTGCCCCCTTGTCCCTCAAATCCATATGTAAATGTGTCTGCTCCACAGGGTCAAGTGGTGACTTGGTTGGTCTTCAAAAATCCAAGTCAAGAGCCCTGATTCCTTTGAGTGGGACTTTTTTATACCCTTAGGTGACCAGGAAGCTGAGTCAAAGGAGGAAGAGGTCACTCAAGTCCCTGGGACAACTTTGTTACCTTTTAGAGGGAAATAACCCTTACTGTGGGGAAATGGGAACCGCAGTAGTCACGTTGGGGGTGGGGGAGAGAGATTACACTCATTTTGTTTTGCATCAGAGGGCTGAATTAGGAGCAAAGGGTAAAAGTTGCAAAGTGATAAATTTAGTTTTGAAATCAAGAGAAACTTCCTTACAAATACAGATGTCGAAAAATTTAGGAAGTTGTAGAATCCTCCTCAGAGACTGTCAAGGAGAGGCTGGATGAGCACCTGTCAAGAAAGTCACTTCAGGGGTTCCTTTTGGGTATGGACTGGACTAGACCACTGATATCCCTTCTAGTGCGCCCATTTTTGCTATTCTGTGATTCTATGAATTCTTGTCTTGCATTTTGAAGTGCTATATTTTGTTGTGTGTATAAAAGTCATCCTTTTAACTCTCTGTGCAACCTCCCCCCCCAAAAAAAAAAGATACCTAATCTGGATAAATTTTGTTCATTTGCAAAAATAAATTCTCAGTAAATGCTGTTGGTATGTAAGAAACAGGACTAAAGGTCAAAGTGCTTCTATAATTTTAAGGAAAGCTCCTAATAATTGCCTTAAGTTTTATTTTCATTGGTGATACATTCACCTCTTTCATTTTTGAAACTGGCAGTTTGGTTTTCTGGTTTTTTTTTTCTTAATCAAGTTAACTAGTGGGTTATCTACTATATTGGTTATTTCACAAAACTAACTCCTGGTTTTATTTCTTAGTTACATGGTTGTTGTTGTTTGTTTGTTTGTTGCAAGGCAATTGGGCTTAAGTGACTTGCCCAGGATCACACAGCTAATAAGTGTCAAATATCTGAGGTCAGATTTGAACTCGAGTCCTCCTGACTCCAGGACCGGTATTCTGTGCAGTTCTATGGTTTTCTTATTTTCAATTTTATTAATCTCTCCTTTGATTTTCAGAATTTTCTGTTTTGGTATTTAATTGGGGATTTTTAATTTGTTCTTTTTCTAGTTTGTTTGTTTTTTTTAGTTGCATGACCAATTCATTGAACTGCTCTTTCACCAATGTAAGCATTTAGAGATATAAATTGCCCCTTAAATTCTGCTTTGGCTGCATCCCATAAATTTTAAGATGTTGTCTCCTTATTGTCATTCTCTTTAATGAAGTTATTGATTGTTTCTATGATTTATCCTTTGACCCACTCATCCTTAAGGATTAGATTCTTTAGTTTCCACTTAATTTTTATCTATCTTTTATTGCCCTTTATTGAATATAATTTTTATTACATTGTGGCCTAAAAAGGGTGCATTTAATATTTCTGCTTTTCTACATTTGTTTGTGAAGTTTTTATGCCCTAATATGTGGTCAGTTTTTGTGAAGGTACCATGTGCATCTAGACAAAAAGGTCTACTCCTTTCTATGCTTATTCAATTTTTCCCAGAGGTCTCTCATATCTAACTTGTCTAAAATTCTATTCATCTCCTTAACTTGTTTCTTATTCATGTTATGGTTATATTTATTGAGTTCTGAGAGAAGCAAATTGAGGTCTATAGTATAGTATAGTTTTACTATTTCCATCTGTAATTCATTGAACTTTTTATTTAAGAATTTGGATGCTATGCTATTTGGTGCATATATGTTTCACATTATCTTATTTCATTGTCTATGATACCTTTCAGCAAAATGTGTTTCCCCTGATTATCACTTTTTATTAGGAATATTTTTGTTTTACTTTGTCTGAGATCATGATTGCTACCCTTGCCTTTTTTGCTTCAGCTGAAGCAAAAGAGATTCTGATCCAGCTTTTGTTCTAACTCTTTGTGTGTCTTTCTGTTTTAAGTGTGTTTCTTGTAAACAAAATATTGTTGGATTCTGGTTTCTAATCCATTCTGCTTTCCACTTCCATTTTTTCCACTTCTATTTTAGGGGTGAGTTCATTCCAGTTACATTCACAGTTATGATTGCTAACTGTGTATTTCCATCCATCCTATTTTCTTCTGTTTATCCTTCTCTCTCTCTCTCTCTTTTTGTACCCTGTCCCTCCTCAAAAGTCTGTTTTGCTTTTTACCATTGCCTCCCTTAATCTGCCCTCCCTCTTATCATCTCCCCCTTTCTCTTAGCCACTTCTCCTCCTAATTCCCTATTGTATAAGATGGATTTCCATACTCAATTGAGTGTGTGTATATATATTCTTCCCCCTTTGAACCCAGTTCAGATGAAAGTAAGATTCCAGCTTTGCCACCTCCCTTCCAAGTCCCCCTCCATTCTAAAAATTTCCTTGAGTGCTTCTTTTATGTGAGATAATTTCCCCCCAATTCTTCCCCTCCCTTTTCCCTTCTCCCAGTACATCCCTCTTTCTCAGCCTTCCATTCTTCTTTTGAGATCACCACAATAAAATAGTAGTCTCCTTTTAACTGTCCTAATGATGATAAAGTTCTTGGGGGTTACATGTATCATCTTCCCATTTGGGAATGTAATTAGTTTAACCTTATTAAGTCCCTCATGATTTCTCCCTCATGTTTGCCTTTTTATGCCTCTCTTGAGTCTTCTGTTTGAATGCCAAATTTTCTATTCACAAGTTTAAGTGAATTGGTAGTTAGGAGGAGAGGAAAGGAGATTGGTTAAAATAAACATCTTTGTTTTCAAACCTCTATATTTTGTGTGTATCTGTGTGTGTGTACACTGCTTAATAATTCTTTTTAAAATCATCTGAATGCAAAAAGAAATCTAAGTAGTAAGCTGTTTAAATGACTCAGTTTCCTCTTACTGAGTTCTCTCCATTTAGGAGAAAAAAAAACAAAGTCAGATTATTCTTAGTCCTGTGATTTAGTGATTTAGTTGTATAAAATGACTCAATTAACATGTTTGTCACTTTTCCAATCATACTGTTTGAAAGAGCACCTCCATCGATGACATCATAGGTACGTCAAAGTAGTTCTAAATTTTACTTTCTGTATGTAGAAAGATGAAGTGTACCTTTAGCAATAATATTCACATCAGTTTTCTAAGCAAAGACAGGGCAAAACAAACCCTCAAAATATCTAGCATCCTTTCTCTCCAGATGATCACGAACTCTAAATTAGTGTAATCTAAATTAATATGAAAAATTGTTTTTTAAGAACATGCAGATTCAATAGGATATGCAGAGGTAGAATAAGCCACTATGCCTTCCCTCACAAAACTCAGGGTCTACTAAGTGAGATATGACTAATATACACAATTGCTACTCAGTATCAGGCAATATGTAGAATGTAAGCTACTTGAGGGGCTTATTTATTTATATCTCCAATACCTACCAGAGTGTTTGACATGTAGTGCTTAATGAACACTTATTGGATTACACACACATGAACATGCACATGCACACCATATGTTGCTGAGCAACAGCATGGCATGGTGGATAGATGGTCAACCTTACAGTCAGAAAGATCTGGATTTGAGTCCTACATCTTACACACTCTAGTTTTGAAACTAAGGGCAAGTCTTTTAACCTCCTTTGGCCCTCCACTACCTCCTAAGACTAGAAGTTATAGACAAGTGGCTACCTTTATCAGTGCAGGGAGTTTCCAAACTAGAGAATTCCCCCAGACTGATGTAATCTTAGGTCTAAACCAAAAACAAACACACAAAAATCCAAATGGTTAAGTAGTATTTAGGGTTAAAAAGCTAGTATAGCACAGCAAATGGAGAGCCAGCCTTGAACTCCAGAAAACCTGAGTTCAAGGTCAACTTCTGAAATAGACAATGGGAACTTTGTCAAATTAAGACCTCTCAGTACCCTAGTCAATTCTATAAGACCATAAGCTGTGGAATAGTTCCACCTGGGGAAAAGGAGGTTTTTTTCCTCCAGTGGTAATTCCCTACACCAGTGAAATCATAAATCTGGTGCCCCCTTCCTCTTGATCCCCCCACCAATATAGTGCTGTAGAAATTTCAAGTCCCAAGCAATAAGACCTGGAGTAATTGAAGATATCTTCATGGAAGGGGCAAACCTCAAGCCGGGCCTTAGAGATGGATTAGACTTGGATAGGTGAAGTAGAAAAGGGAAGGAAGGAAACAGATGCACAGAGGGAACATGAAGTTTGACTTAGTCATGAGACATATGACCAGGCTGGCTCTAGAACAAGGTAATCTGTTCAGTGTCAGTTTCTCTATCAATGTTCAATAACTCATTACTTAACAGGTCACTGTTCAGTTGTTCAGTCAGGTCTGACTCTTCATGACCCCGTGGACCATAGCACATCAGGCCTGTGTCCGTGGAGCTTTCTCGGCAAAGATATTGTAGTCATTTGCCATTTCCTTCTCCAGAGGATCATCTTTTGCCAGAACTCTCTACCTGTCTGTCTAGGGTAACCCTGCACAGCAAACTCATAGTATCACTGAGCTATGCAAATCTCTGCGCCATGACAAGGCAGTGATCCAGAAGGGTATTACTTAACACAATTCCACAAATTATAGGAATTTTAACAAATTCTTAAGGGAAATAAGAAGGATCTTTATTGTCATATCCTTTGTAGACAGTCATAGACTATACTTTTTGGCGGTTGTTTGCTAGGTCTATAGGTATGTTTTCAAATATACTATCCAATTAAAGATTAACTTCAAGTAATTTTTATTTTCAGATTTCTGATGATTGGCCAGGTTATCACTTGGATTTATTTACATACCCACAGCATTATTATGGAGATCTGAACCATGTGCTTATACCTCATGGTGTCATTGTGGACAGGTAGGTATGTTTTCTTCTTACATGCTTAGTTCAGTTTGATAGGCTAAAAGTGGTCTGAAGTGGGCTTTAAAGTGGGCTTTAAAGCATGGTCTGAAAGGAAGTATGGTACCATAAAAAAAGTACTGAGTCAGAGGACTTGAGGCCTCATCCTGACCCTTCTTTTTACTAGCTCTGTGATTGAACTGATTGCCCATGACTGATCAAGGCACTATCTGATTTCTTTATCTGTAAACTAAGAGGGTTAAACACATAAGCTCCCTTCCAGCTCCAAGTTTTTGATGAATTTTTCTATACCTCAGGACCTCCCATCCCATTCCTTATTTCTTGTTGTTGCCAAACAGACAGTCAATGGGTTCCCTTTCACATGACATGACAAAAAAAAACCCCAAAACCTTAAGGGTTTATTTGCTATCTTTCTCTATTTTTACTCTTTAAAAGGTATCATGGCATATTGGACAGATCACTGTCCTGGGCTCAGAGCTAGGAAGACCCAGACTCAAATTGTTATTCTAACACATACTAATTGTGTGACCATGGGCAAGGAACATGACCTGTCTCTCACAGGGGTGCTAGTAAATGTTTAACAACTAAGTTTGGGAGGGGAGTAATGCATTCAACACTTGGTTTAAGCTTAATCTGTATTACTAACTCTTTTTTAAGTCTAGATGATAAAAAAAAATAATAAGTCAAGTCCAGCTTTATAGCAATTGCTGATTTCTGAGGTCTCCATGCCGTCAGTGAAAACTGAACAACTCTGCTGCTTGGAGCTGGCTCCAGCATGCCTACTCTTTGTGCTCTAGGCAACTCTCTATGAGATTAAGTTTCCAAGGAACTGCCCACCTACTTTATTAAAGGAAGTTTCCTTACCTGACTTCCCTATCTTCTTTCATTTGTCTCATACCATATAAGTCAACACATGCCACTTGATAATGAGAGCATTGGCTACTGGGACATTTGCAGTTTAAAGAATGACAGCATAATGAAATTTCTCATAAAGATTAATGAAATTGAACAACAGCTAGCAAATTTATTCAAAAGAAAAGGAGGGAGGAAACTCTGATTACCAAAATCTAACAGAAAAGAGATTGCAGTGAACTCAAAGTAAATTCACAAAATCATTGTTGGTTATAGTACCCTTATTGGTACTTATTAATTTAAGAACTTAAACAGATGAATATCTGTAAAATATTTTAAAAAACAAACAGACAGCAAAGAAAATAGATAACCTAAATAGAGTGTTAGAAGGGGAGTCAAATCAAAAGTCTGAGGTGTCACTTGTTATCTATCAAATTGGCAAAATTAATTTTAAAAGGCTGTGGCATGCTATTGCCTTGTTTCAGGCCTTGGAGACAGGAAAGCTTATGCTAAATTCCTTCCTTTGACATTTCTCAACTCTGTAACAAAGGGCAAGTCACTTCATCATTCTGAGCCTTGTTTACTCTTCTGAGTAGTTCCTATGAAGAGATGGCCCTTCTCCTTGCCAAGGCAAACTCTTTTTCCATGCAAAGTGATCCCATACCATCTTGTCTTCTCTAGCAGTCAGCCCCATTTATCATCTCCACTCTCTCATTAATCTTCAATTTCCTAGTGTGTGATGGCTGTTTCTCTACTGCTTTAAAACATGCCAGTGCCTCCTCCACCCTCAAAACACCTTCCCTTGATCCATCCATCTCCACTATCATTCTCTATCCTCCATTTAGTAGCTAAACCCCTTGAGAAGGCCATTTATAAAAGGTGTGTGTACTTCTCTCCTTCCCACTCTGCAGTCTGGCTTCCAACCTCATCATTCAACTGAAATTACTTTTTCCAAAGTTACCAATCTCTTAATCACCATCTTAAGCTCAACACGTACGAAACTGAACTCATTATCTTTCTCTCAAAACTCTCTCCCTCTTCCTAACTTTCCTGTTACCATTGAGGGCGCCATGATCCTCCCAGCGTCCTAGGTTCACAAATTAAGTCTTATCTCTGATTTCTAATCTCTCTCACCTCACTGTATGTCCATCTGTTGCCAAGTCCTGTCTATTATACCTTTGTAATATCTCTTGTATATGACCCTTTCTCCCTTGACACTTCCATCAGCCTGGTGCAGACCTCAGACACTTGAGACTATTGTAAAAATCTTCTGGTCGGTCTTCCTGCCTCAAGGACTGCCTCCAGTCCGTCCTTCTCTCAGCTATCAAAGTGACCTTTCTTAAAGTACAGTTCTGACCATGTCATTCCCTCTCCACCACATTCAATAAACTCTAGTCACTCAGTATAACCCTAAGGATCAAATATAAAATCTTCTATTTAGCTTTTAAAACCCTTCATAACCTGGCCCCTACTACCTTTCTGACTTTCTCACACTTTATTCCTCCCCTCTATAATTTGATGACACTGCTTCCTTACTGTTCATAGCACAAAGCAATCCATTTCCCTACTCTCTATTTTCACTGGCTCTCCCCCAGTAAAATGCCCTCCCTCCTTGTCTTACACCTCCTGAACTCCTTCAGGTTTCACTTACAATCCTCCTTTTGTAAGAAGATTTTCCTGGTCCCTTTCAATGCCAGTGCCTTCCCTCTGAGATTATCTCCAATATGCCCTGTATAAATCTTATTTGTAGACAGTTGTTTGCAAATTATCTCTTCCTTTATACTATGAGCAGGGACTGGTTTTTGCCTTTGTATCCCTGGCACTTAGTATAGCACCAGAGCTTGTTGACGTGACTCATCTGTAAAATAATACTGCTGATACACAAAGTGCCTCCATTGAAGGGTTTGGGCTCAAAAGAGTTAATGCATGTAAAGCTGAAGATTTAAAAGCATTGTGTATATGTCAGTTGTTGCTACTGCCCATTTCCTGCTCACCAAAAACAAACGATAGCACTGTTTGTGAATCGTTACCCTTTCGTTTTAGAAATCACATAATTCTCCTAGCTTGGAGCTCCTTTGTGCAACTAAATACATTTTCCCCCAAAGTGCATTCTAATGTTGGACATTGTGCTTTGCGCAATTGTAGCTGGAAAATTGTGACCCCAACAAATTTATGGCCATTTATTTTTTGTCCTTTTATTTCCTTTCCAGGACTGAGAAGCTGGCCAAGGATATCATGAATGACATTGGATACTGTGACATCATGATTCTGTGCGTGCTTAAAGGGGGCTACAAGTTCTGCGCTGACCTTGTGGAGAATCTGAAGAACATCAGTCGAAATTCTGACACATTTGTCTCCATGAAAGTTGACTTCATCAGACTAAAGAGTTACCAGGTAAGCGAGCAGATTTTCTGTTTTAGTTACGTAGTCTGGAGCCAAATAAAAGTGTGCAGGAAATTAATTCTGAAAATAAAAATTCTGAAAAAAAAGTGGCTTAGTAGGTGGGGCTATTTTAGGGGGAAAATTGTTTTACTTAATTTTGTAAAAAGTACTATAGTATAACACAATTACTTTTATTTTCCCCAAAAACTATTTTTGTCGTATTGATATGAAAATATTCAACTCAAAGGTGATTTTATCCTTTTTTTTCCTTTTTTTAAATAACTACATGTTCCACATGATTACTTTCTAGGGCTTTACCTTGACTTATCAGGTAGGGGAGGATTAGGGTGGCCTAGGGTTTCTGTCCCCTGGTAGTCACTCATGGCCCTAGTAGAATATCTTTGATTTGGCCTCCAAGCATGACCAGAAGCTGAAGAAGGGCAGCCATTTTAGGATACCCTGTCACCTAATAGGGCTAAGCAGGCCCAGAACAGGGCCAGGCAAAGGCTCCCCAAAACTATCAGAGCTTCTGAAAAGAGAAGAGGTCTTTCCCTTCCAAAGACAGCATCCTTATGACCTTGGTCCTTCTTTACTTCTCTCTTGTACCTTCCCACCCACCTTGCCATGTGTTCTATATATCTAACTAGTCAACTGCTATGCTGATACCACGTGAGAAAATTTCTCTCTCTCTCTCTCTCTCTCTCTCTCTCTCTCTCTCTCTCTCTCTCTCTCTCTCTCTCTCTCTCTCTCTCTCTCTCATATGTCTATATACATACATATGCAAGAAAACTTCTCTCTTCCATGTATATACATATATATACACATATGCACACATATAGAGAGAGAATATGTGTGTATGTAGTTTGGTTATTCATGAATGCTGTTTTATTACTTAAATTAACTTGTTACACAGCCTACTGTATATTACCAGATTCAACTGTGAAGTGTTTCTTCTCTCATCCCCGATCCTGCCCCAGGGTATGGTCTATGAAGTGTAATTTGGGAACTAGAGTTGTGTGTGGTAGGTGGGGTGTACAAAGAGAAGGGAGCTCCATTTCAAGTAAAGGTCAAAATCAGAGTAATAACTAGCAAGAAATGAATGGAGCTTTACCCCAGGGTGCCAACATCATTTGGGAGGTGAATTTCTTCCCACTAGGATGCCAACATCCAGGTGGATGTGATTCCTGCCCATAGCTGATGATAGTCCTATAATTCATCTTTCCCAAGCTGTCACTTGGTACAACCATCCCCAGGGACACTGTCTCCCCAGGGTCCTATTGCTGTGGTGCCCCTTTCAATGGAGTATCTGTCTAACCCCTGTGGGAAGGAGAAACCAACCATGCTCTGTACCGTGATCTCTTCTTGTCCCAGATGAAAACATTTCTAGTCTCTGCTCTGGTCGGAATCGTGAAGCAAAATCAGGAAGTTGGTAGATGAGTTAGTAATGACTGTGGAGAGCTAAACCAGGATTTTTCCCAGAAGGTACAAGAGAGGCATGTGAGAAATAAGACATAGGTTCAAGCTACAATAATTTGAGATTGGACAATTTGTAGAGTGTTAAAATAGGCAAAGTTTTCATTCTATTAGCTTCACTAGATTGTTCTATGGGTCTCTGTGTTTACTGGCCGGCTTTTATGGTGAGACTTACCCTTCTGTTTCTTCCAAAGTCCCTTCGCCTGGAGGTGAATACTACTACTACTACTAATAATAATACTAATACCCCTGTCGCCATTTTTCTCCATAGTCGATGAGTTCACTTGTCATTTCACGTCAAAGTTTCGGTCCCACGTTGAAGCGCACACTCTTTTAGTCCCGATCTTTGAGTTTTTCAATCCTTTCTTGCTGACCCCTTAGCTCCAAAACAAAATTACTCTGTTTCTAATTACCTGAGTTTTTAATTAACAGGGTGAATAAATCTGGACTTGGAGTAAGGAAGATCAGAATTTGAATCCTGCCTTTGATATTTTACTAGCTGTTTGATTTTAGACAAGTTACTTAAGCCCTCACAGCTTGTTTCCTCAACTGCAAAATGAGTAAAATAACGCTTACCATGCAGAGTTGCTGTGAGGCTCAAATGAGAATATATTGTAATACTTGGCACACCTTAAAGCACTATACAAATGATAGTTATTTTTATTATTATTATCAAGCTAGAATTGATTGATATTTGCTCAGTTAAACTCCATTTAAAGTAAGTGGTAAGATGAATAATCAATTTCACAATCATAGATCATAGACTAAGTATGAAAAGTCTTTGAAAGTCATTTGATGAAGTGAAATGATGCCTGACTAGAAGTCTGGGCTAATTGATTGGTGTTTTCATTGCATCCTCTGGGTCCTTTATAAAAACATTGAATCAACTAGGATTGGAGAATTCCAGAAATTAGAATAAGAATGGCTTTCTATTATGCCCCTGAATGAGAAATGAATGGGGGCAGGGAAGGAGGAGAAGCTTTGACAAGGTTTCCCTCCTTTCCTTTAGCTAGAGGAGGACCTTGTAAGGTCTGAAAGGTCTGAGAAGATTTTGGACTACCTGTTTTCTCATTGGTACCCCAGCATTCTCTCCTCCCCTCTCTAGGACAGCATCAGCTGTTGTCAGCGTCTGCATTAGCAGCCAAGGATAGATTGGATGCAGGTTTTCCTGGCGTAAGGAACATTTCTTGAGCACCTCACTAAAAGGGCTTCCAGCACCATGTGATCTTTAACCTTGAGTCCCCTTTCCCTTGGACCATGTATGTATTTGTAGGAGAGTATGTCAGACTTTTGGGGTGGTATTTTATTCTAATTATTCTTATTCTACTACCTTAATAAATATTCCTTTCTGCAAGCTACTGTAAGGCTGGCTGCCTCTAATGATTCTCAGGTAATAATCTTAGGATGAAGCATACTTGTCAGAGGGCAAGCTCATGGTATTAGAGGATTATACCCAACTCCTCTGGGATGCCTCTCGAACTTCGAAGGGGAGATATAGCCTTGCTCTGGGACCCAACTTATCTGTGAGTTTGGGAGTGGGGATAAGGATCTTCAGAACGTATATGGACCACATTATCATCATCATCATTACCATTATTACTATTAGCTGAACATAATTTGGTGGTTGTCTAAATAACCACTTTCACTGTACCCCAGTTCAGAACAAACCCTTGCATTTCTAAAGCTCAGCAGGGGCATTCTCAAACTTCTGACCCATAGTTATTAACAGTCCCAAGTAGAGCTAATGATGACATTCTTGTTCTTGCCACCAAATGCAAGAAAAGGAAAGTAACTAGGTGAGACAGATCAACTCCTGAGACAGTGCCTATGAGAAACTCTGAAACAACTCCTGTAAAGGCACAGCTGTTCACTCAAGGCATGCTTGACCTCTAATTAAATCTCCTTAGAAGTGGGTGGGAGAAGCTGGTCCAGGCTAGGAGGTGATGAGCAAAGACTTGTGGGGAAGTCGTGGATACTACTCAAAAGAAAGAGAGTCTGTGTCAGATGAGGCTCTCCCCTCTCTCCCCTAGGGCACAGGCTAATTAAAGAAAGTATGCTAAATAAACACAGCCAAATAAGGGTAACCAAACCAGCTCATTTCTCTAGGGTGTCTGGGGCTTCTGCGTGCCTCTCAAACAGAGTCATTGGGAGCAGCCTTTTTAAAAATGGCATGCCTGCAGCCATGAACAGTTCCAGAAGTCTGTTACCTAGGAGGCTGGAGTGAAGTAAGGGCTGCTGTCCAAGTATCACATGGTCCTAGTCAGAAAATTCTACCATTTCTCCCTAGAAGTTAAAAAATAAGTATATAATTTTAAAAGCTAACCCTCTGAAGTGCTCTTCTAATTCCTCATCGTGGTGTAGTCCTGGGTACTTGAAGGCTACATCAATGGAGCACAATCTTTGTCAGGTCCCACCCCACTCCAAAAGCTTTGAGCACAACCCAGGAATGGACTGGATATCTGGAGGAGGACCAGGCTAGCTAATTTCAGAGAAGCTCATCATCAGAAGGTGGCCAGCAGGTAAGGACTCTAGAATCACAAACTTTAGAGCTGGAAGGGACCTTAGAACTGCTTACAGATGGGGAAAAAGAGGCTCATAGAGATTAACCGCCTTGACCAAAGTCATATAGATAATAAGGGTGAGAAGCAGGATTTGAACACAGGTCTCCAAACTCTGAGACTGGCAGTTGCTTTCCTGCTTTCCTTCCTTCCTTCCTCCATTCTTCCCTTCCTTCCTCCCTCCCTCCCTTCCTTTCTTCTTTCCTTCCTTCCTTTCTTTTTCTTTCTCTCCTCCCCCCATTTCTTTCAAAAGAGATATTTATTGTGAAGCTACAGAAAGAACAGAAGTTACAAATATTTCCCCCCAACCCCTGAGGGTCCCCTTTCTCCTATACTACCTCAGTCCCTGGGCAGAGTGGCCTCAGACTTAACACAGCTCCTACATAGCATTCACTCCACCAATTTCCTTTCCACGTGCTGAATGGTGGGTGGATGAATGGATGAATCTCAGCTACTGCTGTTCTGAATCCCTCAGGTCATACATCTGGTGTGGCTGGTTATAAAATCCAGCATGGACTCCAGCTCCTGAACTTCTGGTTTCTCATTTTCTTGACCTTTTGAAGATGATAAGGTCATAAGCATCTCCATTCTCCTTCACCTGAAACAGGAAAGAATAGATGCAAAGAGGCAAAGAATGGAGGTCTGTATTTCCAGCACCATTTGTCAACCTCAGAAGGGGCGAGGCCCCACATCATTTCCCTTAACAACTCTCTCTCTCTCTCTGACTCTCTCTCTGACTCTCTCTCTCTCTCTCTCTCTCTCTCTCTCTCTCTCTCTCTCTCTCTCTCTCTCTCTCTCTCTCTCTCTCTCTGTCAGGAATAGAAGCTTAACAATAAAGAGGCCCAGTGATCTTTCTACCATACCACACTTCCTCTAATTTCCTCCCACAACAATTCATAAATGTTATCTACTTAGGAATAGAAGGATTGTGTTTTGGGGTTTTTAGCCACAACTGGAGGTTCAAGAAGAGGTAAAGGAATG